TTTGCAGTGTGTGCCTGTTATCTTGATACATGGTGCTCTGCTGTGGTTCTGATCTCTGTTTCCCCAGGCCTAGTCCTGCACCATATTGCTGTTCTCTTTCAGATTTGTATAACTAACCGTAATGCTGTAACCCTCCCTAGCTCTAGACCTGCTTCTTTTCTGGTCATTCGGCTTGTCCCACAGCAATACCTCCCTGGTTATATTTCCTATCTGGCCTTTAAAATCTCTTTTTCATATTGTTTATCACCCCTACTCTGTGCATTGCTCTGTGGACATCTGGTGCTGTGAACATTGTCTCTGGCTCTTCCTAGTCATTGTCTCCTGTCGACGATGGGGCAGTTGTACCGCTTTTCTTTTCAGCTGGACAGACCTGCTGTCCTCTGCGCTAAGCGGTTTGTCAACCTTGATAAACTCTGGTAGGCTTAGCAGATGTCTGTGTGGATTCTTAATTAGATCTGCTGGTCTCTAGACAAATCTGTCCTTGACCCTGGACTCCATCCCTGGCCAAGGACCGCCCATTGCTTTTAGATCTGAACATAAGAGCACAGAACTGGAATCATCGTCATAACCTGCTCGTCACTTCCCATGTTGTCCTTCCTCTGCCAACGTCCACAGTGTCTGCCATCAGCGAGGATGAAAGTACAGGCGTACCTCTTTTAATGGTGCTTCCCAGAGACTGTTTTTTACAAATTGAAGGTTTGTGGCCACCCTGTGTCAAACAAGTCTGTCGGTGCCATTTTTCCAATGGCGCGTGCTCACATCGTGTTTCTGTGTCACATTCGGATAATTCTCACAATATTTCAAACTTTTTCATCATCATTATTATTATTATTATCATATCTGTCATGATGATCTGTGATCAGTTATCTTTGATCTTATATTGTAACTTTTTGAGAGTGCCACGAACCATGCCTGTGTAACATCATCAATAAATGTTGTGCGTGTTCTGCCTGCCCCACCAATCCTCTCCTCAGCCTCCCTGTTCCCTGAGACACAGCAGTATTGAGATTAGGCTAATTTATAACCCTACGATGTCCTCTAAGTGTTCATCTGAAAGGAAGAGTCAGCCGGCGTGGCAAACTTCATTGTTATCTTTTTTCAAGAAATTGCCACAGTAGCCACGAGCCTGATCAGTGAGCAGCCATAGGAATTTGCTGAAGGCTCAGATGATGGTTAGCATTTTTTAGCAATAAAGTATTTTTTAATTATGTGTTTACATTGCTTTTTAAGGCAATTATTACACACTTAATATAGCGTGCAGCAATAATACACAATATGATAATGTACATGGTATAGTATAAGCATAGCTTTTGTGTGCATTGGGGAACCAGACATTCATGTGACTCGCTTTATTGTGATATTCTCTTTATTGTGTTGACCCTGAACCAAACCCGCCATATCTCTGAGGCCTGCCTGTAGCAGCTGGGGCCCCGACATTCATTACTGGCTTCATAATCTCAGGCATCCCTCTCCAGGATCTTTCAGATGTCATCATTTGTGCCCCAAGAAGTTACCAGACGTAAGTGGAATTTACCCAGCTTGATGAATTTCGGAAGTTTCTCTGACTCATCGCAGAGACATACCACCCCTCAGGAGTGGCACCTGGCATCGGGTGTACAGAGGCCCCATGACCACACCCCTCAGCTGGGAGCTGCTGACTGCCGGTTCACATCTCCCGCCATGATGGAAAGGCAAAGAAAGATCCTGACCAGAGGTCGTGGGTGATTAGGATGAAGGAGAAGGCTGTTGGGTGATGCCTCTTGTCCTTGTCCAGTGGGCCGGACACACAGCGTTCTGTTGATTCTCAAAAGAGCCTGTGCTTTCTGGGTCAGAACTCAGGCTGTGCCTTTTGATGTCATGGGTGTTTCCAAAGCACTTTACAAGGAAATAGTTAAAACAGTGCCCTGATGAGGTGGGCAGAGATCTCGCATTTAACTGATGTGGTCAGGAGGAACCGAAGGATTAAAGACCTTGTTTCAAGTAGGGTGGAGCGCTGTGTTCACGCGCATCAGTTCACTGACATTAAAATTCCGCATTACTCATGCCTAGTCTTTTGCTCAGATTATCTTCTGCTTAAAGAATAGTGACCTGTACTCACATGTGATAGGGAGAGTCACTCTCTCTGGGTCTTATTTCTCTCTTAAAAGCAAGGGAGTCAGGCTTGAGTGCTTTTTAGTGCTGGCATTCTTTGTTCTATGCTTAGTTTCCCCGTCGAGATACTATGTGGCCTGACTAATGATTGAATGTACGTAAGAAGGGGTGTTGAAGCCCTTATTAACACTTGAATGCTAAAAATCCCAGCTCCCTCATGTCTGGTTATCCAGTGTGGCATTTAGAGGGATGATGAAACGCCCATCACATCCCTGGGCACCAGCTTAGATTCTCCTCTTACTAAAAGACTCTTTCTGGTCTTCGCGATTTGGGTTCATGTTTACATAGATGGAAGTGAGTAGTTGTCTTGCCAGGTGTTGGCTTTCTAAGAACAAATGCTGTAGCGGTAGTTTCTAAGCTTTCTAAGCTTTCGTTTCTAAGGGGCTTCTCCCTCCCATTGTGTTTCCCCAGTCACCTCGGGGGATGCTGGTAAATTCTTGATTTCCCAAGTTTGGTGGTTGATAGAGTCGATTTCAAGTTGGCTCAGATAAGAACTCTGGGTTTCAAAAGTACCCCTGTGTTCAAATAATTGGGTGTAAGTGAGGGAGGGCTTTCAAGTCATGGCGTCACCTTCCTGATGTCTTGGTCCTCTTCAAGAAAAAAGGACAAAAAACAACAACATGTTCAAATAGCTCTCTAGCTGTATTTCTGATTATTTCTTGGAAGGTCTCAGATTTAACGTTTCAGAAGGAATTTGCTCTTTCTTCTGGTTCCTAAGTGTGAGATTTCAGAACATCAGTATTATCTGACTTTAGGACCAGAGGGCAAATACTACGTTGGCCTGGCTTGTCCTGTCTCTTTGTTCTAGTTTAGAATTTGAGGTATCTTGGCCTAAACTGAAAGTCAAAGATCATTCAACCTGGAAGAGGACTTTTATTTATGTCTCTGAGCCTATTCATTCTACAGCTTAGAAAAGTGTTTCCCTTTGCAGCAAAGCACCATCTTTTCCCATATTGATATTTAAATAATATATACCAGTCTTCCTGCAAACGATTAACTTTTGTTTAGGAAGTCATAATTTTAGCATCTTGTGATAAGAATCAGCAAATCTCAGCAACCTTCGGAAAAGCTAGGATTCCTTCCTTCTGGCTAACGGGCAGCCTGGACCTCTTTCCTTCCTTCCATTGGGCAGGTGAAAGGTGTTATTCTTTGGGAGTCCATTCAGTTTTCCTTTCCTTTTGTGTTTTGAAAGGAGGAAATAGGCTCCTAGGAGACTGTTGGCTGGAGGCGCTCCAAAGCTTGGCCTTTTTGGCCTTAAAGCTACTAGTTCTTAAAGTCCTTAAAGCTATAGGTCTTCCCACAATAGAACCCAGGTAGGTAGAAGACTCCATACTAATGCCCCATGGGGAAGCAAACATTTCAGATATGTAATTCAGATTTACTATGAGGGTACGAACTGCTTGTGAGGAGATCAGCTCATTTCCTTCTAGTAGAGGTTATAGAAAAGTCTAAATCAAAATATTGTGCTTTATTTAAGCTCTCTAATCTTGAGAGAGTGCTTTCATTTTTCAGACATTTCATCAGATACTGCATTCAGACATCATTTTTCACCATTTGATTTTCAGCAGTCAGTCTTGGGTCATCTTAATTATCACAAGGGAACATGGTCACCTGCTTAAATGTGCCACTCTTTACCAAGAATCTCAGTATGTGACGTGAAAATCGTTCTTGTAGGGAGGCAGGGAAGGAAGTAGCAGATGGTATTGGCCTCTTGTCTCTAACATGGAGATCAAAAATGGGTGCCTCCTTCTTAAGGAGCTTATTATGAGACAAAGGAAAATATAGTTACTGTGCTACGTGTCATTCATTTTTTCAACAGATGAGTGAATACTCTTTTAGGGTGATTAATTCTCCTGTAAAGCTCATGGATTTATGCTAAGTATATGCGTTTCAAGGAAAAAAATGCTCCTGATTCTCGACCAAATTCTGAGTCAGGATGTTATTATAAACCAACTTAACTTTGTTCCAGTTAAGGGTGAGCTCTTGGCAGAAAGCTAGATCAGCGTAGCGCTCCCACACAAACTACAGGTTCAGTGCCAGATGAACCTGAGACTTAGTAATTTCAAAGCCAGTTTCAAAGTTCTTCGGGATTGCCCACAAGTTCTTGGGAAGTAAAATGTGTTTGTAGATGTTTGGACCATCCCAAGTGTAGAGCTGATTTTTCATATGCTTTCACAGGAGTCCTTGGGGTTAGGGAAGAGTAGGGGATGGGGGGGGGGTGCTGGAAAGGACATTATCAGCAATTAGTTAGCCTTTTGAAAATACTTGTAAAAATCTGTACCATTTCTAACTTTCCCAACACAGCACACTTGCTTTGTTACAGTAATGGATATCATTCCTTTTGTTTTGTAAATGTTTGCTTTGGAGAAAAAAGAAAGAGTGGGTGGGGGCTTTTATAAATCAGAACCATTATACTTGAAATTGAGTATGTATTGTATGAAATTGAGTGTGTATTGTATGAAATGTTTTCTTCCTTGGGAGATTGAGACCTTTATTTGGAAAATTCCCCAGCCAGTGTTATGTGGTATCTAAGAGAGTGTTTACGGACAAGTGTTCTTCCTTGGGCCACACCCTCTGGCTCTGTGAACTTCTACCTTTGGTCTCTTGTGAGTGGGATGAGTGTTTTGTGACCCAGAGTCTGGGAGTGCTCCTGTAGAACACCATGCCCAGGCTGTGAGAGGTGAGGGCATCTTTACCTCCCCGGGGCTTCTGCTGCTCCGGACTCCACCTGCTCCCTCTGCCATGACAGAAGCTCCCCACAAGAGCTTGTCACAGCTGGAATCCTCTGCTAGGTGTTTCTGTGTGCTATTTATCTGCTTGAATTCCACTTCTATTCCCTGTGTTTGTAGGAATCATAGCTGCCAATGTCTTTGTGTTCTGCTTATGGCGAGTCCCTTCCCTCCAGAGGTCAATGGTCAAGTATTTCACATCCAATCCAGCCTCCAGTAAGTCTCACTGGGCCACATAGCAACGTTGGGGCGGTGCGCCGTAGGTTGGGGCGGAGCCGGGAGAAGGCAGCAGGTCCCTGTCAGGTAATCTGTTCCCTCAGTATTTCCCAAGACCCTGATTCACGGGTGTGGCCGCCCTGCCCAAGGTTGTCACCTGGAGCTCCTTCCTTCCTTAAAATGGGCAGTTTAAGGGCCTCCCCCTGCCCACCCCCCATGGAGAGACTGCTGAGTCGGGGAGGGGGAGCTCTTCAGCTCTGTAGAGGGTCTTCATGAGTCTCCATGGTCAAAGTTTTATAACCAGCTGCCTGCCGTTGAGCCTCGCTAGGCCGGGCCTCAAGTGACCAACACGTGAAGCCTGGTCGGATCTGGCAGAGCACAGGGCCTGCTGCTGGAGCTTTCCTGCCCGGGAAGAAACGGCTGAGTAGAACCCGAGTGGCCCGAGAATCGCTTTCTTTTTTCTTTTTAATTGTGGCGTATTAACTCTGAGCAAAATATATAGGTGTTGTTAGTTACTTAGAACACGTTTGCTCTCTGGGAAAACATTGCACAAATCTTTTTTTTTTTTACTGAGACATCCCAATAATATCAACATCTTACTAGGCTAGGCATGGTTTCATTCTTTGTAATCTCTGTGTCCCTGGTGCCTAGCAAAATACGTGGCCCATAGTAGGCACTTCATAGCTTGTGGAACAACTGATTGAAATGGAAGCTTTTGCCAGGATCTGTCTCCACCAGAGATTGTGTGGCACCATGATTCTAGAGCAGATGCTGGCCACCAGACCCACTCGGGGCCTGAGAAAAGTGGGGGTGGGGGTGGGGAATGTTCCTCTAGGGGTACAAGGAGGCAGCCAGACCAAGCAGCCAGGTTTGGGGCGCACAGATGAGGAGGGGCTCCTCTCCAGCACTACCTGCCCTTGGCTTTTCCCCCTTAATTGTTTCACTGTTGGTCAGACATTCCTTATGGAAAATGGGCCCTGATCCACACACCTGCTTCTGTCATAATTATAATTGAAGCTTCCATCCCCTTAGTGTATAAATAACCCATCTCAGCACGAGGTATGTCCCTCTTGTAGAGTGATCCAAGAACCGACCCTCGGGTGTTGAGGGTGGCCTCTTCTCCCAGGATCGGAGCCAGGTCAAGCCTTTAGGCCTCCTGGTGACCGCCGGCATTCTTGGTTAGACATGCGCCAGGCCCTGGGCTTAGGGAGGACACCACGCTGACTGGGCTCTCCTTTTTCTTGCAGAAGCGCTCTGCTCCCCCATGCTGCTGTCCACCTTCAGCCACTTCTCCTTGTTACACATGGCGGCCAACATGTACGTGTTGTGGAGCTTCTCCACCAGCATCGTCAGCATCCTTGGGAAGGAGCAGTTCTTGGCCGTCTACTTGTCTGCAGGTAATGACCACAGAGGGACCGCGGTGGCCGGCCACGGCATGGCAGGCATCCTGCTTCCTCAGTGGCCTCCCCAGCCGGTACCCGGGCTGTGCCAAGTTGAGTTTGACAATGAGCCTGAGATTCCTGTAGAGCTGATCCCCTGCAGCAGAGCTGGGGTGGAGGAGGCCGGGACCATCACATGCATTTGGGGCCTCAGCGCTCAGATCTCTCCACCCCCATGAGTCGAGCTTCTGGTCGGTGCCTTAGCAGGCGTCTAGTCCTGACTGTCGGCCGTGGGAGCTTCCTGCACATGCGCGGCGTAAATCTCCGCTTTGGGGCTTGTCCTCTAGAATGGGAGCGCCGTGGACATGGTGTCTGTAGAGATTCTGTCACATTCAGCAGTCATGGGCGCCCAGAACCATGTGCTCCTCTGGCCGCAGAAAGCACCCCAGGAGCCCCTGGGCAGATGCCAAAGGGTGAGTGGGATTTGTGAAGATTAAGTAGGATGAGGTACATCTGGGGCTCTGCAAACCACAGTTGTTTTTAACACTAATAACAAATAATGAATGCTCGTTGAAATGACCCAGTCACGACCCAGTTTGAAGAATGGAGGAACATGTGATTTATGGCTGTAATTGAATATGGTTGTCCCATTGAAATGGTAGCTCCAAGGATGGCAAGGCCTCAGAGCTGTATGAAGGGATGTAGAAAGAAGCCCGCAGAATTTAAGCAGCTCAGATGCGACCCCGGCCCCAGGCCTTTGCTGGCCCTGCATCCTCAGTGGTCCTCTGAGTCTTTCCTTCCTGGGTGTGTCCACCCCTTCTCTCCTCCTGCTGTCTGCCTCTGTTTCCTCCATTAAATCCTGTGTAATGAATTGACCTGAGGGGCTGGAAGTCTTCCATCAGTACTAGAGCAGCCCGTGGGGGGTCCATCTGTTCGTACCTGCCTGTGCTGCATATCTGGCCCAAAACCCCTGCCAGTCTTACAAAACAGAAAACACATAAAGAACTAAAGAAATCCCAGCATTAACACAAGGTGGTGTTAGGCACACAAAATGGATCGTTGTGAACACATTCTGGTTTTAAAACATAGTTCTGATTGTTTGATCAAATTGGAGATTTGGGTATTTCTTTGATGTTTAGTTAAAATGGTTAAGTTTGTAAAATTGTAAGTATGGGTGAATCACTCCCTGAAATGGCAGGCAGAACTAAATCCCCAGATGTCGGTCCATCGGCTCCCCAGAGGCCACCTAGCCGCCTCCGGAGCCCCCCTGAGAGGTGCTCTCGCAGCTTGGCCTGAGAGCCTTCAGGGAGTAGGAATGGGCAGCTGGTGAGGTGGCTGCCTTGAGCCCCAGGCGGGCCCTCGGCTCTGTCCTGCAGAGCGTCCCCACTGGGACTTGGCCCAGGGCTGGGCAGCTCACCGGCTTGGCTAGAACATGGTTTTTTCTCTGTGCTTCCTTTCAGGCGTCATTTCCACTTTTGTCAGTTATGTCAGCAAAGTGGCCACAGGCAGATTCGGACCCTCTCTTGGTGCGGTAAGTTCTCTCCTTGCTCTACAGTCTCGATATCAGAGTAAATTCTTCAAACCTTTCACGTTCTCACCTCACTGGGGCTCTGCATCTCGCGCTCCAGCTTCTGCCAGGCTCCTTTTCGTGGGAGTTACAGTGGGATGTCCTTTATTGAAACTGTGAGGGAGAAAAGTGGGTGATGTGATTGTCTTTTTAATTTTCATTGCTATCTTCTGGGTTTCACGTGACCTTTATTTCCAAATATATCCATCCCTCTTCTACCCAGAGAGCCTCACATAGAAGAAAGAATAAGTAAGAAAGAGGAGGGTGGTTGGAGACAGGCCAAGAGAGTGAATGAAGACACCTGCCAAGTCTGGCGGTGTGTGCACCGCCCCACAAAGAAGGGGAGGGGCCGCGTGGGGGGGGTGTTACAGTCCTCGCGGGCACTGCTGGGCTGGTTCTGCTTCTTTGCTTCGCGTCAGTCCATAGGAGTCTTCTCTGACACCACAGACCAGAGCTAGAAGTAGGCACATAGATTTGCCCATTAAAATTTGATGCAGTGATCTGCCATTGCACGTGATAAATCTGAACATGTTTCCCTTTGAATTAATTGAACTTGTTAACATGGAAAAGAAAGATCTCAGGCAAATACGTTGACTTTACTCATTCAGTGGGCAACCCTCTGGAAAGTCTGAATCACTCTTTTTTCTTCAAATTGAATAAATAATTTTAAAGCAAATTTTAAATAACTTCATGGCAAACTTTAGAATAAATATAAATCCATCAGACACATCCTTTTCTGGAGTTAAGACCCCTTTTATATTATATATTCAGCCCTGATACATACGTTTTTAAGTCCATATTTTCATGTTTAAGAAAGCTGGTGCTATGTTTTTCTTCTATATCTAAGCATTTGTTGCTTTTTTAATTCATGGAACATTATCATAGGTAAATATAAAGCTTTCTTGGCCAGAATAGATGGGGGGAGGGAAATCCCACTTTTTCCCAGTAATGACTCACATGGTCAGAAATGCTTATATGTGTGTGGCACATGGAAACGGTCGTGTCCTGGGACCCCGAGTCTCGAGTCTAATTTTCTACATTAGGAAAGAAAAGTGACCACTGGGTAGGACAGCTTTTGATGCTATAAAGTTCCAAAGACACCTGAAATATTAGGGTATAGCAAAGAAATGTGTGGCTGCCACATAGCTACAGGCTGAATTGGGGGTCAGAGAAGAGCTGTGAATTCTCATAGTTTGCTGGTCTTTTTCCTTGAGGCCACGAGCATTCCCGTGTACAAACGACACTCACAGCTCACTTTAGAGCTGACCCTCTGCTGAGAAGTATCCAGTAGTGTGGCCTTTCTTATGCTTCAAGTTTAATTATGGGAAGCTTGGGGGCCTCATTTTCAAATGTTCATTTTTTGTTAATTTAAATTTTTTTCTAATAAAAAATCTGTTTCCTTTCCTTCCCATCTCCACCCCCTCCCCACTATTGAGAAGAAAAGGAAAAAAAAAACCTCTTAACAATTATGCTTGGACAGGTAAAACAAATTCCCACATTGGCCATGTCCAAAAAATTTTGCCCCATGCACTACTGGCCTGCTGGAATTGTGTCTGATCATCACATTTTTCTTCTGTGATTCCAGCATTTTCAAAAGTTGCCCAGTGTAGAATGTTGGACCTTCCTCGAATGTTAGTGAGTGTCACCCGAGGCCTGGCCTTTCATCCCTCATTCATTCATTCATTCATTCCCCAAACCTGTACTGAGCACCCCATACGTGGGAGGCCCTGCTCCTGGTATTGCGTGGATAGAGACAGAGGGCAGGACCTGGCGTGACAAGGCCATGCTGTGAGAGGTCCCTTCTGATGCCAGAGGGGTGTTGTCCTCTCAGCTGGGTCTGGAGCATGAATCCTGAAGGAAGTGCCTGGGACAGAGGGGAGGCAGTGCCTGGGGCCATAGTGAGAAAGCCCTAGCCCGGCCCCCCAGCCCATGCTTGGCTTCTTTCTCTGGGAGGCTTTTCTGATTGATGCTGTGGCTGTAGAGGCCCATGACAGCCTTGCATAAATTTCCGTTTTGAAACAGGTCCTTAGGAATCACCTTCATAGCTGGTCAGAGGATGTCCAGATGGTTCCTCTTTGTTCCCCAGCAGCAGTGGCAAAGTTTGCAGGGGTCTTGCCCCTTATTTATAACAGAGCAGTGAGCTGCTGAAACTCTGTATAGGGGCTCTAAGCAGCATGAGGGGCTTTTCTCCCAGCAGCCCTCACTTCTGGGAGAGGTGGGATTGCGAGGATCTTGTATATCCCCATTTTATAGGTGAGTAAACAGCTCAGAGAGGAAGTGACCTGCCCAGGGTCATGCAGGCAGTGTCAGTCAGTCAGTCAGCGAGCACACTGACTCTGTGCCAGGCCCGTGGCTCCCTGCCTTCAGGGAGCTCCTCTTCTAAGAAGGGAGATGATTCTCACAGAGCGAGTGACAGCCACCCCAGCTTAGGCCTTGGCAGTGGGAGGGCCTGGGACACTGGGCTGTAGGGAAGGAGCATGGCAGCTCTACTCTTTTCTGCCGCCCCCAGGAGGCCTGCCATGATTGCTTTGCAGGCTAGCTTTCTCCTTTGTGCCCAGGGCCCTCTGAGGGGGTCAGCTCAGTGATGGCCCTCTCTCCTTGTATCCCTTGCAGTCGGGAGCCATCATGACGGTCCTGGCAGCTGTTTGTACCAAGATCCCCGAGGGCAAGCTAGCCATCATCTTCCTGCCCATGTTCACCTTCACTGCAGGAAACGTGAGTGCCAGGTGGGTGGGGAGGGAGGCTGGAGGGACGGGTCACGCCTCTTCTCCTTTGGAGGTCTCCCAAGAGGCCTTTCACTTTTCTCACCGCTCTTTAAATATCCAAGACATTCAACCCTTTGGGCCTGTGGTGAGCACATGGCCAAGCACAGGGCCAGGAACGGTCCCCACTTGTGACATTTGCAGTCGGCTTAGGGCCTCTACTCTAGGAAGTGATCAGCATTTGTAAAGCCCATACTGTGTGCCAGGCCCTGTGCTGGGCTCTTTGCACTTACTGTCTCATTAGGTATTCACCACAATCCCGTGAGGGCCTCGGTCACCCAAGTCATAAGTATGTGAGGCAGGATTTGAACTCAGGTCTACCTGACCCCTGGCTGGGCACTCTAACCTAGAAGGGATCCTGAGAGAAGCAGAAATGAGCTCTGGGCGGGGAGATCAGAGAGAGCTCACTTCTGATGGTGAGCGGATGAGTCACCCAGACGTCCTGCTCACAGAGGACAGCGTACCAGGGTCCAGAGCCAGGCCTCGGCGAGGACGTCCCCGGTGTGAGACACGAGCCGTTGGCATCCCTTCTGTATGGTTCAGGACATGTCCCCGTCCTGCCGGAGCCACCTGCTGGCCTCTAGGGGCCTTTAGAGATGCCCCAGAGCCCCGGGGCACCTGGGAATGGCCCCTTTGTGAGTGACCTGGGCCCCGTTGCCCACAAGGGTGTTCCTTCTGGACTCACCGCTGCCCCTCACTGTGTGCCGGGGCTTCCCCTCCCTCCCTCCAGGGCGGCGCCTCATCTGCCTTCCTGGGCAGCTTTCTGGCCAGGTGCTAGCTTTCCTTCTAGAGACACTGCCTCTGAGCATGGGCCCGGCTGTTCATCTGAAAACAGACTAAGGCATTAGTCTTTTCATCTGATTTAGACTTTCTTCCAACACAGAAATAACTTGAGAAAATGTAATAATAGGCAGGATAGGTTAGAATGAAGTGAAGCTGTAGGCCACCTGCTTCCGGCAGATGTAGCCAATGGTTCTCATTGGGTGGGCTGCAGGACACCTCCCCCAGCCCAGTTCTCCAGGCTGCCCCAACTCGTAAGGCTGGGCAGGTGGACTGGCCTCTGGTGGTGGGTCCCACTCACTGGCCTGTAACTTCTGGCCCCTTCTTCAGCCTGGTGTTTGGGAGCTGATAGCCCTCACAGGCCTGCAAGTCCAAACACCCTCATTTTACAGATGAGGAAACTGAGCCCCCCAGAGGTAAAGTCACCTGCTGACAATCATTGCTGCCGGTATCTGGGCAGCATCTGAACTCTGATTTCCTGTCAAGTCCCAACATAGAGGGTCCAGTAAAATACTGGGGAAGGTCATGATGCACAACCTCACTAAAGAGAGGGCATCTGGCCCTTTCGTCTCATCTTCTGTCTTCAGAAAGCCATTCCCTGCCTTCCCACTTTAATTAAGTGGTCTGGGGAGCTAGGACTGCCGGGGGCCTCCTCCACAGAGCCTGCCCAGGAGTGTCCAGCACAGGTGTTATGAGGGTCTTGCTGAGATGCTTACGTAAGAGAAAAGCTTTAAGAACCAGCAGACTGACCTCCGGGGAAGCTTCGGGAGTCCCTGCTCCCCTGGTCTGCCTGCACTGCGGGGCAGGGCTGGGCACTGGGGTGATGAGAGAGGCCCTGGGTCTGAGGAGGTCACTGCCTGAAGTGGGCAGAGTAAAAGCTGGCCAGTGTCCGACCCCACGGGCCCAGGCTGCTCCCTGCAGACAAGGCCCGGCCATGATGGAAGCGCTGTGGGGCAGGGGGAGGGGAGGGGTACAGCAAGCTAACGGCAGGTCTGGGTGCTTTAGTTGGATTGCATTTCTTTAGAGAGCCAGCCACTCATGAACAATCGTGACAGAGTCACAAAAGTGCATCTGTAAAGCCCTTCACCCATACTGTCTCATGTGATCCTCACAACACCCCTGGGAGGTAAGTGTTATTGGTGTCCCCATTTTACAGTGGAGGAAACTGAGGCAAACAGAGGTCAGCTGGCTGGCTCAGGATCACCCAGCTAGTAAGTGTCTCAGGCTGGATTTGAACTCAGGTCTTCCTGACTCCAGTTCTGGTGCTCTGTGCACTATGCCACCAGCTGATTCAAAAACGTAGACTTTCTTTCAGCGTCTCCTCTGCCCTTTATCTGCTCCTTTCCTCACCTCCCTCTGTCTTTTCCTCAGAGAGGTCAGTTAGGACAGAGTAAAAGACTGAGGTCAGTGTGGTGAGCCCTTCGTGTGTCCCTGCTCCGTGGCCCTGAGCAAGTCACTTCCCCTGTGTGCATCTCGGCTTCCTCCTCTGTAAAGCAGGGAGGACGGAATAGCTGCTCCCCCCCTTCATGGAAGGGGAGCGCTCTGCAAACATTAGCACAGGTGTGAGCGGGGTATTCTTTGCCCCTGGACTTTTTGGTGAATCAGTGAGAGAATGCCCGTAAGGAATCACGTGCCATAGGAAGGCATCCCACTGGGTCACCGGATGTTTCAGGCCTTTCTCCATCGCACCCTCATACAGAGGCACCCGAACTCCTATTGGAGGAGCCGCCACGGAGGGGACACTTAGGGCAGCCAGGCCGGAGCGTGGGGCCTGCTTTCCTTCTCAGCTCCTGAGTGTGCTCCCAGTTTGGTGCTTCAGACAGAGAATGAGCCTCCAGCCAACCAGTGAAACAGTGTGAGTGCCACAGGCTTTGGGAGCTCGGCCAGATGGTCTGATTCATAATTACTAATATTCACTCTTGACTCAGTTTGTGTGTGATCTGTTGTTAATGCCCCTGGATTTTTCTGGCCTGAGTGTAAAAACATTCTTCCCCATCAGTGCCCTCTTTCTCTTCTGTCTCATTTTGCACACAAGGTTGGTTGGTCCCATCTGTCATTCCCTACCTCCATTAGGAGGCTTCGTGGCATCCAGGAGGGAGAGTCGGCCTTGGGCTGGCGAAGCTGGGCCCAGGGCCTGCCTCTGGCAGGGACTGTGGGACCCTGAGCAGGTCAGGTCTGCTGTCCGTGCTCTGAGCAGCTCTCATAGACTGCATTGATGGGGGGCTTCCCTCCCACTGCCAATGGGATCGAAGGTCTGTGGTAGAGCAGAGGGCAGGGGCATGGGCAGGGCCCTGCCAAAGGCTTCTTCCTGCACATCGTTAGGGCAGTGCTGTAAAGCTAAAGCTAGCATGAAGGGCCGACATCATGTCACGCTTTTGTAAGGGCTCGTGTGTCTTGCGTTATGCTGTAGGTATACCCCAAATATATGAGTTTTTCTAAATTGGTAGTGCATCCTTTTGTAAAGCGAATGAGACGCACCATCCCTAACCTCTATCTCAGTCCTTCCACGACTAAAGTGTGGCGCCCCCAGCGCCGAGAGCCCCTCGTGATGCTGCTGCCATCGGGGGTGGTGTGGGTCTGCTTTGGAAGTCAGTCCCAGCCTTTTGAGCCCCTCTTCCCACATCTCTAAGCCTTTTTTCAGTCTGGAGCTATGGAGAGCCTGTTCCTGCCCACTCACCTTAGTGCAGAGGGAGCTGGGGATGGGCCAGAATCAGCGACGGTGCTGGCGTGGGACGGTGGCCTAGCATGCCTCCCCTCAGGAAACGCTGGTCACGGCGGGGTGGTCTGGGCATGGATGGACCCAGCGGGCCAGACCCAGGCACGGTTCCGTTTAGTCCTGCCCAGGGGTGTAAAAAGAGTTAGCCTCTTTCTCTAGATGCCCATTGTCAGTTACTTCCAGTCCCCTTTTTCTTGGCCTTCTGGATGTTCCCAGAGGCGGTCTGGTACTGGGTGTGCCCCTCCTGGAGGGCGAGGGCTTCTGCTTCCATTTTGCCTGTCCTGCCTCATGCCTCAGGAGCAGGGCGTCCGATCCCCCGAGACAGCATTCTGATGGGGGGGGGCATTGCTTTTTCTATTCCCCGAAACAGTTTCACTAGAGGCAGACATAGGCGTGTTGTGCTGTTCCGGCAGAAGGGGCTGCGCTGCTGGGAATGAAAGCCCCCACTGGCATTTCCTCACGTCCTTTTGTGTTGGATTTTAGGCCCTGAAAGCCATTATTGCCATGGACACAGCCGGGATGATCCTGGGGTGGAAGTTTTTTGATCACGCGGCACATCTTGGGGGAGCCCTTTTTGGAATGTAAGTGTGAGTTTAACTTCCTAATGGGATTGAACATACATCTCCTTGCCTCCAGCTCCCAATCCTCTTGGTCTCCTTCTCCCAAAAAGTAAATAAATAAGTCCAGAAAAATTCATCCATCATCTGTAAAATGGGAACAGAATTGGACGTGGCTCCCCTCCCCCCATGTCTCTATTTATATCGCACAGTCGGTGGTGAAGACTTGGACTGCCAGTCATCTAATTGAGGTGTCCTTAATCTGGAACTGAGTCGGTACAATCTTGATTTATCACTTCCTCCTCTAATTTCTCATCAACCTTGGTCAGAGCAACTCATTGTATAAGGAAGCCCTTCTTCTGGAAGAAACACAGGTTTATCTGGAGGAAGAAAAGGCTCAGGGAGCCTTCTCAGGTCAAGTACATGGAGGAGGGAATGGGGAATTGGCCCCAGAGGACAGACTTAGGAGCAGAGGGAGGGAGGGTGCCCCCTGTCCTGAGCACTCCTCAGAGGAGAGGCTGGGGAGCCCTTGTCAGGGATCGACTGGAGCAGCTGGCACCTGAGGGCTGTCCCTTCTGCCTCCAGGCTGCTGTGACTCTGTGTCCAGAGCTGCAGAGATGGGGGTCAGAGGGTGAGGAAGGGGCAGCATAGCTCTGTGGAACTGTGGAAAGATGCCTGGAAGGCCGTGGAGACTGTGTACCAGCAGGGGTCCTTGCATAGGATGTGCCTCTGCCAGGCACATTCTTACGGAGGCAGGGTGGGTAGATTTTTTAAACTCACATTTTGGAGCTCTGACATCTAAAATCAAACTGAGTCTTAACATTTATTTTATTCTGAACTTAAACACCAGAAAAAGAGCATTGAGACATATACAGCAGAACATAAAAAAAAAAGTTGTATATGAAACCATGAATTTCTTAAAAAGTATATCAGTTCCACACATTACTTTCAAAAGCATCCTGCTTATTTTGTGCTTCCCTTTGAATTTCCCTCTGTTTTCTTCTATGCATTTTTAAAATGTTTCAGTGGTTCTCGTTCTCTCTCTCTCTCTCTCCCTCCCTCTCCCTCTCCTCACCCCTTTTCTTCCCTTCCCCCCCATCAACATTGCTAACCCCCAATTAGAAGCAAAGGGGGAAAATCCTCATAATTGATAAGAATAGTCAGGCCATGTCAAACTATGTGTCTGTCTCTTCTGCTCACTGATCCCTTCCCTTTCTGCCAGCAGGTACCTTCCTTGCTTTGTCCTGCCTCTTGGAGATGTGATTGATCTTTGCTCTGATAAGATCCTTAAGTCTTTCCAGTCGTTTTTCTTCCCAGTATCTTGTTCTTCTGGTTCTGCTCACTTCACTCTGCATCAGTTCATACTTGAAGATTCTCTGAAGTAATTTTTTTCATCATTACTTTCATTGCAGTGATATTCCACTATATTCACACGCCCCAGTTTGTTCAACTATTTCCCACTTGCTGGAAACCATCTTAGATTCTGGTTCCTTGACCTTTTCTTTCTTTTTTCTTTTCCTTCCTCCCTTAAGGATAAAGAAGGTTATTTTACTTACAGCTGTTCCTTCCCAGTGTTGTCCTAACCAACCCATCCTCACTTGTTTCCCCATTGAGATTGGTGTATTTCTACACCAAAGCTTGTGTGTGTGTTGGGCCCTGCGTTGTCCGTCTCATTAAAGATTGAAGTTAATCTGATGCCCGTGTCCTGGGCACCTTTCTCCTTGTTTTGTGTACTCTTCTTATGCACGCCTTTTATGAGAAATAACAAGTTCCAGCCCCTTCTTCCTCTTTTCTGCATTAATCTGTTCCTTTTATCTTCCTTTATCTTTCTTGCCTTAGACCTCAGGACAGAACGAATCCACCTCCTGGTCCTCCATTTTTCTTATTTCATTCCACCAGTATCTCTGGATGAGATTAAAGTTGTGAAGGGATTCTTCTTCTCGCTTCTGTTGGAATGTTAGTGCTGCATCATCTGCACACTGCCTCTTCTAATTGTTCAAATGCATGTACCATTCTAGATGTCTCTTGACTCTTGGGGTTTGCATTTCAAAGTTCCCATTCAACTCTTGTCTTTTCATACACTTAAAACCTCTGTTTGTATTAAAAGTTCATACTCTCTTTCCCCACTCCACCCCCAGCTTTTCAGAGGGAGTTATTCTGTATGTGAAGCCCATATCTTTTGCCTTTTGGAGTATTGTATTCCAAGCACTCCTCTCATGCAGAGTCAAAGCTGCCAGGTCTTGTGTGATCATCCATTTTAGAAAGCAATTCGGGATTATGCAACTAAATGACTAAAATGTTCATACTCTGAACCAGAGATTCCATTGCTGGGATTATACCCCAAGGAAGCCGTTGATAAGGGGGGAAAAGTCTCCATATACCATAAAAAATATTTATAGCAGCACTTTCTTCTTATAGCAAAGAATGAGACATAAAGTAGATGCCCATCTATTATGAAACAGTTAAATTGTGGCTCATGAATGTAATGGAATATTACTGCACTATAAGAAATGTTGTATGTAATGAATTCAGAGAAGCATAAAAAGAACTACATGAACTGAAACAGGGTGGAGTTAGCAGAACCAAGAAAACAATATACACAATGACCACAAAATCAAAAAGAATGCAACTCAGGGCAGCTAGATGGTGCAGTGGATAGAGCACTGGCCCTAGAGTCAGGAGGCCCTGAGTTCAAATCGAGCCTTAGACACTTGACGCTCACTAGCTGTGTGGCCCTAGGCAAGTGGCTTAACCTCGGTTGCCTCACCCCCCCTCAAACAAAAAGAATGCAACAATCTTATAAAAACCAAGCAGGACTTGAATGAAGAAAGTAATTCCCCAATACACTTTCATGGAGGTGAAAAGTCCAGTTTTTCTACATTACACACATTTTTGGACTTTCCCAATGTACCGATCAGTTCTGCGAGGTGGGAACGTAGCGGAGCACCGAACGCCGAGCCACACGGCACGAAGGACAGGGAGATGCAGGGTGCCTTGGCGTTGTGGTTAGGGACTGGGCCTCCGTGTCAGGAAGACCTGTGTTCAAGTCCTGCCTCTGACAGTTGGAAGCAGCAGTGTGACTCCGAGCAGGTCACGAGCGAGGGCCCTGGGCAGGTCACTGAGGCCGTGAGCTGTTGAGCTGCATTTGTGAAGGAAGTCTCCCTAGAGGAGTCCCCTGTGACAGTGAAGTCAATCTGATTTTATGTGCTCATACACACTTACCTACACACATCTCACACCCACACCCACGCATGCCACCCGCTCAGTGGGCACTCCATCAGTAGCCCTCACAGGCAGAGTCCGGTAGAGGAATCCAGACCCTGGCTTTTCTTTGCTGTCCCTCACCACGCTTTGGGGGAGGGGCAGCATTTGGTTGCCCTATTATGAGAATCCTCCCCTACCCTTTTTTTAAACAGAGGAGGAGCAGCGTGCTGCATGGGAACAGCTCCTTTCCGTAGGAGGTACCGCTGTGACATGGTGCCATTTTTAACTTCACCGATTAGTGAAGAGAAGTCCTCATGTTGGCAGTGATTCATTGTAGGTAAAAGCCTCCTTGACAGTGTCACAGCTTAAAGAGTAGGAGAAGCTTATGAGAAATGGTTGGAGTTTATGCTGATTAGTCTCCAAAGTGTTTCATATTAACACCTGAAAAGTTCCGACACTTGTCAGCTCTCTTTCCCACACACCTCCTTTTTCACTGATTTCACTGGAATTGGGTGGGCTTTTTTTAACCTGCAAATTTTTAGTCTCAGTGCATTCTGTAACCAAGATTCCAAAAGGCAAGAGACTTTCTTCTCAGTTTCTAAATCTGACTCTTCCCATTTCCTGAGTTTCTCCAGCTTGTGCCCGAAAAGTCTTTGTCTTTTCTTAATCCCTAAGGCAGCTCACAGAAGCAGGTTGTATTTTAGGGATGTCTAGATTATTGTGAGGAGCACCTGGTTGTCAGACTGCCTTAGAGCTCCCTGCCTTCCCATCCCCTAGAAGGGAGGATGCTGCAGCCATACTTAGTCTGAAGGATTTTCCTCCTTTGCCATAAGTGCCCTCATGCCCGTGACTCATTCAGCAGCTGGATCTTTATTTGTCTTAATCTCTTTCCTAGGTCAAAACAGTAATTATGCCATAACTCACTTTAACCTGTTTATACTGATCGTGCCGACTGACCAGGTCCTTAAAACTCTGTTTGGAGGAGCGTGGCTTCCTAGAAGGCGGCGGGAGGGCCAGGAGTGTTCATTACTGTGGAGACTTCCTCATGCCTCTGTTCTCCTACAGTCCTGGGTAGTGGGACAAGTAGCATTTGCCCTGTGCCTGCAATGATCAGGGCTGCTTCCCCAGTTATCATTATAAGAGACTCTGGCTCCGAGAACCACTGATTCAGTGTTTGCTCTTGTTTAAATGCTTCTCCACCTTTAAGCTTTTGCTTAATGAGCATAGAAAGCTGGCTTCCTGATACAGTTCAGCGAATGCACAAGTCACATTGGCAAGTGTTTATTGAGCCTGCTGCGTGAGGAGCTTCAGTTTAGGAAGCCTTTTTGTGTTCATGGTCTCATTCGAGAGTTCCAGCATTGCTGAGAGGTGATGTGAAGTGACTTGGCCAGCATAGCCCCAAGCCAGGATTCAGACCTGGCTCTCCTGAGCCCAGACCCCTCTCCCCCTTCATTTTGCATCAGACACCACACGTAAACATCCTGAATGATGACATTTCAGCGCCAGCCTAGCTCACGTGTGTGGCTGGCCTTAAACTTGGGTGACGTGGATGTCATCGCTGCAACTGCCCCTCCAGGGATGCCGATGGGGTCTGTGTCCTGACTTTTTGTTTTCTTTCTCCCAGATGGTATATTACATATGGCCATGAGCTGATTTGGAAGAACAGAGAGCCACTAGTGAAAATTTGGCATGAAATGAGGACTAATAGCCCCAAGAAAGGAGGTGGATCTGAGTAAATCCTGTTAGAAGAGAATCCTGCCTTGGTGTTGACCCCACCTAGAAGACACAGAGACGAACAGCACTCAGTCTCAGTATATCGGCTGCGGCCCCAGAAGCCAGAAGCCCGGGCCTCAGCACCGGTAGGGCCTGGATCTGTAATGGTATTTCCAGATGTTTGTCTCCAGTAGGAAGTGAATTAAGAGAACGTTGGCACAATAAATGTTTCTGTCTCTAGTTTGTAAGCAGAGGATGTTTCTTGAGGGCTGCAGCAGCTGCGCTTCTCACCTTCTGCTTAAACCTGGTGAGGGAGTCGGCCTCAAGCGCTCTAAGTCGCTTGTGAGCAGCGGGATTGTCCTTGCTCCCTGGAGAATTCACACGTTTCAACGTCGGCGTCAGACTGTGGGAGGCTCCGGTTCGGGCCCTGTTGGCTCTCCGGTGTCGTCCTGCTTTGGGGGTGGGGGTGGGAGGGGGCAGGTACCCAGCTTTGCTGTTGCTCCAGGTGATTGTTCAGGTGTCTTCGCCTGCTTCATCTGGGCCAGTTCATTCCTCTTGCTCCATTGGTTTTTGGTGAATGCAGACTCCTTTCTGGCCAGGTCTGGAAGGATGATGTCAGTGATTTTCACAGGACAGGAAGTGCTGCCCTGCAGTGAGTGGAGTACACTGAGATTCATTTTCAGTGCGGTTTTTAAATAGAAATTGTAATCTAGGTGTGGGAAGGCATTGACTTGGATGGCTTCACGTTTGAACCCGAGCCCAGCTCATCCGACATTTGATTCAGGAGGCTCATGCTCCAATTTGAATCTCTTACTAAACCTTTATTTGCTAGTCAGAGGCATAATCACCCTCCTTAGTGGAATCATTGTTCGTGCATGAGAATCATTTCTTGGAAATTCAGATTGTAGAGAATTTAAAGCAACACCAGCCTTTTTAACTTCTCCTGAAAAGTTAGCAAGAAACATTTTTTTAAATGAAGAGGAATGTATTAGGAGGCCAAGGAAATGAGGGCAGGGAAGTTTTCCTCCTTAGCTGTCAGGAATAGCATGAAATCCACTCCCTAAGGCAGCTCTGCAGTATCTGTCAACTAGCAGAATAGCCCCATCTTTGCATACAGAGGCGCGGCCTCTCTGGCTATAGGCTGCAGCAGGGCCCCTGCCATTGTGGGGCACAGGACAGAGGCCTGACCCCCTGACTGGTGCCTTCCAGTCCTGCTCTTGTTGGGGGCTGACCTTAAGGGGACCCCCTCTCAGGGCCCTATAGGCCTGCCCAAGAAAGCAAGGTAACCTGGGCACCTCTCCCTAATGTGTTCAGTCAGATAACCTGACATCAGCGGGGGAAGGGCACTTCATGTATGGAGGATGGTCATCCTTGACCTTTGGGAAGCATTGATCCCTTGTTGATGTAGTTTTACACTAGCCCTTTTTCCTGACAGTGCTGTATGAGATGCCATCATTACACAGTTTAAAATGCAAACATTTCTAACGAGTTAGTCAAGCCTTCGTTCAGTGCCTTCTTTGTGCCTGGCACCAGGCTGAAGATACAAAGACAAAGGGTGAACTAACCCCTGCACTTCAGGAGCTTCCATTCTCACTGGGGGAGCCACTGTGGACACATGTGGGCAGATCCAGAGCAGACAGAGAATGGGCTGGATGGGTGATGGTCTCTGTGGGGGGGCCGACAGGGCTAGCGCATCCCCTCTGCAGCCTTTCTGGAGTCACCCTCTCTGGCTCAGGGCTGCCAGTCACCCGAGGACCCATGTTCCTGGCCTTGCTCCACAGGAGCCTGCCCCCTTCCTGGGGTCAGGTCCGAGGGGTGGGGCAACACGTGCAGTCCAGTGCAGTCATCGTCTTAGGGGGGTTTACGTTAATTTTTCTTCAGTTACGAGAAAGGGTTAGTTCAAAGTGGAAAGATCCTTTCCCAGATATACACAGACACATATACATATACATAGATATGTGTATATTCATATACATACATGCATATATGTATATGTATGTGTGTGTATATGTATATACACACACATTCATATACACATGGAGGGTGTGTGTGTGTGTGTGTGTGTGTGTGTGGTGGTGCAAGGACAAAAGGAATCAAAATGTTTTTTTAAGAAACCCCCCCCCCAGTCTCAGCTTCCTCATCTGTAAAAACAGAAGATTAGACTAGAGTGTCCTTACGGCTCCTTTCAGCTCTGAACCCTCTGACCTTGGGATCCCACGAACATTGCCAGGAATTTAGGTCAAGCTCACCGTGGATCGTTTCCAGCATCCAGCTTTTTTCCCTCACTCCCCCCCAAGGCTTCCAAGCCCGCCACTCTCCCATTCCTTCGGATCACCAGCAGGGAAGGGCTCAGAATCCCACCTGCCCAGGCTTGCCTTGCTGTGGAATTTTTCTACATCTAGGGATTGGGAAGTCAGCGTTTTGCCCGCTGTAGACGCTGAGTGTGTTTTTGTGGAGTTTGAATTCAGCATAGACAGCCAGGTGCTGCCTTTTACCTCCTCCCCTGTCTGAGGCTGCATTTTTAAAGTGCTGACTGTGTGCCCCAGTCTGAGCTAAGCCCTGGGAATACGTGGGAAGGCACAGCCCGGGTCCCCTCAAGCAGCAGGCTTCTAACCGCCTTGTCATCACCAGGCGTATACCCTTCCCGTGTGAAGATCATTCTTGAGCAACAGTAAACCAACCTCTTCTGTTCTGCAGGCTTTCTGTATTTCTTGGGGAACCTTTTTCTTATTGTCTGTCACTTGCTGGACTCTCTGGCCTTGCCCTACAATATCTTGGCCCTCCTGGCTCCTCTTGACTGTCCTCGGCCACCCCACCCCCCGCCTTTGTCCTTCTAGATCTGGGGGTGCCCTCACCCAGTGCCAGCTTTGAGAGACCCCCGCGCCCAGCCCACTCTGGGCTCCTGGCCAGGTTCTCCTGCCCTGGCCTCGGGCCTGGGTCCACACGACCCTGCATTCAAGCTCCTCCTTGCCATTGGCACCAGTATCTTCATTTCCAAGGGATTAAACTTCTTGGCAATCAGTCAACAAACAAGCATTTATGAAGCACTTACTGCATACCAAGCACCGTGCTAAGCTTAGCTGGAGATACAAAAATGAAAGTGAAGCTGTTCCTGCCCTCAGGAAGCTCTCGTCCCATTCCCCAAACCCTGAGGACATTGCTTAGCCCCCAAACATGATGAATACAAGGGCGCTTCAGCCAGGGTGAGGGGCGGGTCTCCTAGAGATGTTCTTGGGGCTTCGGCTGTGTCTCGAAGGAACCTTGGGAGGGGTCAGGGAGGAGGGTGGTGGACTGCTTGTGTTTTGTTTTGTACCTAGACCTTCCTCTGGCTCTCCCGTTGCCTCTTCAGACTCTGATGGGCCCTGGCACAGAGCCACGCCAGCTGAGCAGCCCTGATAGAGCCTGGCCCTCAGGAGCCCTCCGCTGACCCTCTTCGTCCTTGCCGCCCAGCTGTCAGTACTGCCAGCCACTCGCTGCATTACTTCCCACTTCTGTCACAGCCGTTCAGTGAGACGAGGACCCGGCTTTGTCTCTGTCAGCTGCGGGAAAGCCGCCGTCACTCCCTCATGAGCTGCTCCGTGCCCCACGGGTGTGCTTGGGTGACAGGAGGGGTGTTTTGGGAACATTAGGTGACAGATTTGGAGCTAGAAGGGGAGTCATCCGGTCCAACTCGCTTTTACAGAGAAGGAAACTGAGGCCCAGATGTGCTCAAGGTCACGCAGGGAACAAATGGCAGATGTGAGATTTTAACCCAGATCCTCAGCCCCCCAACCTGGGGTTCATTCCACCACACAGCCCTGCCTCCAGTGTGGGGTTACTGCTAGGCAGAGACCAGCGCTAGACTCCCGAGGCACAGGCACCTACTGTGTGCTAGGCACTTGGGGCTACAAGGACAAAAACGAGGTCCAGTCCCTGCCCTCAAGGAGGTTACACTCTGATTCTTCTGGGGGATACAAGTAAACCAGTAAATCCAAAATAACATGAGAAGAGAGAGCGCTGGCCACTAGGGAGATGAGGAAGGGCTTCCCGTAGGAGGTGACCAACCCATGATCTGAGCTTTGAAGAAAGCTAGGGATAGATGGTGCAGTGAATAGAGTGCTGGGCTCAGAGTCAGGAAGACCTGAGTTTAAATCCAGCCTCAGACACTTTCTAGCTGGGTGACCCTGGGCAAGTCACTTCCCCCTTTTTGCCTCAATTTCCTCATCTGTATATTAAGCTGGGGAAGGAAATGGCAAACCTCTCCAGTATCTTTGCCAAGAAAACCACAGAGTCGGACGCAACCAGATAACAAAGGAATTCCAAGGTGTCCCGACCATTCACATGGCCAAGTCTCGAGCCAGGAAACCTCTGGGTCCCTTTTTCACCCTTTTATTTCTACTAGATAGAGTTTGCCACCCTGTTTCCTCACTTCTCCAGAGCGCTGCCATCCCCGTGTGTTCTGGTGAGCTCTGAGGAAGCGATGCGTCTGGGGAGAAAGGCAGGCACGCCTTCCTGTTACCAGGGAGCCGGGCCTGTGAGCAGAGAAAGGGAAGCCAGATTTGGGTAAATCCGATCCCGTTTTTCTGTTTCCAGGGTACTTTGCCTTCCTTCCTGACTGGCTGCAAGTCAGCCTTGACTGTGGGCCCAGCCTCGGTTTTTCTGTTCAGTTGCTTTGGCTCTCGATGCTTTTCCCCCCCGACGCTGTAATTTTTGTTCCCTTTTGTACCAGACAGACCTGTTCAGATCAGGACCCATTCTGGATCTGATGGTTTTAGAGTTGCCTAGGGGCCCTGAGAAGCTGTGTCAGATCCTAGGCTTGAACCCGGGCTTTCCGACCTCCCAGGCTGGCTTCCCTAGCCTTGGTAGCCCACACAGTCTCTGGATGACTCCTAGGTCTGAATGGGACTTTGGAGACCGGCTAGTCCAACTTAGGGACTTCTGTCTGCACTATCTTAAGGTTCCACTTATGGACTTCCAAAGGATGAGAATTCACTACCCCCCAAGGCCTGCCATTCCACCCTCAGATGCCACCAATCCCTTCAAAGATTGTTTTTTGGTCAGCTGGAACATGAGCCTGCTCCTCATGTACCTGCATTTCACAGAGCTGAAGCCTGCAGCTCAGATGTGTGTGGCCTCACCAGCGCGGTCTTTGCTCATGTGCTGATTCCTTCTGCACAGCCTAAAACTTACATCCCTTCAGGCTCACAGCTTACCCCTCTTCCATTGCTAAACTCATTTCACAGGCCCTCACACTCTTACAATGCACTTC